CGTTTGATAATAAGGTAACGTCTAAAGATCATTCAAGAGTGCGATGACAAAATACTGGATGAAGCCGAAAACGATGAAGTATACGCCAAATTATTCGAAGAAGCAGATGACTACGGAATCAAGATAAACGAAACTTTGGTGCGTTTTCAAAGCTTTCTAGAGAGAAACACTGAACAAAGACCGGTAACAGAAACACCCACATCACCGATACTTCGATGACAACAAGAACAACAAGAACGGACAACCTACCCAAGTTACAGTTACCAACGTTTGAAGGTAACATTCTGAAATGGTCCACGATCATTGACGCCTTTAGGTCGTCCGTAGATAATGACTCTAGTCTGGAAAACATCCAAAAATTCCAGTACTTGATGACACAACTAAGTGGTGAAGCAGCAAGAACTGTCGAAGGTCTGCAGTTAACCAACGCAAACTACTCAGAAGCACTGACACTCTTAGAACAAAGGTATGGTCAACCACATACTGTAAAATGACTGATTTTCACTGGGTTTAAATTTCACTGATTTGCCATTTCGGGCATATTCAGTGGGTTTTAAATTCACGGTTTCGTCATTTAGATAATGTGTTCTTTGCTAAATTTTACATATTCACTGGGTTTTAATTTAGCGCATTTTCCAGTCAGCGAAATAAGCTAAATTAAAACCCAGTGAATAATTACCCTCTTTACAGTAAAATTATTTCTAGCTACATGAAGGCATTATGGGAGCTACAACCACCCGATAATTCTTTATCTAGTATGACCAATTTTTACGACAATCTAGAAACCTACATTCGTGGATTGCGATCTCTTGGTAAAAAGGAGGATTCCTATGGCGATTTACTTGTTCCGATTATTTTCGAGAAGTTGCCTGCAAATACAAGAACCCAGATTTCACGCGAACATGGTAATAACGCCTGGTCGATAACAGAATTGAAGAAAGCCATACACAGAGAAATCCAAGCTAGACAAGCGGGTAATCCAATAGAACAGTTCAATGAACAACACGCCACTGAAAGATATTCACCCTCTACAACATATTTTCATGTTGGATACAAGTCAAACAGATCTTCCGATTTCAAGCCTAGACCCATGAAATGTGCATACTGCAAAGCCGCCCACTCAGCAAATGCTTGTGAAGTCATAATTGGACCTGATAAACGTATGGCTATAGTGAAAAGAGACAGATTGTGCTTTAATTGCTTAGGACACCATCTAAAGTCTAAATATCGCTGTAAATTCTGTCACGGGAAACACCACTCTACGCTCTGCGACAATGCTAAGAAGACACCCGTGAAATCACAAACTTTCGGTATTGAAGACACATACGTCAAACTGACACC